AAGGGCTTCACAGAGACATGTGAAGCACATTACTTGACTTGACGTATCTGTGACAAACATCACGTCCGATGAAGTTCCATATTTGGATTTGATCCACATGTTACCGATTTTTTTCTTTTAGGTGAACACCTTATTTGCTTCTGTCTTGTGTTTGAGACGGGTACCGCGGTTAGGGGACAGACTATCATCTCCTTGCGATATCTCGTTACTATTTCTTATTGACCATAGGAGATTTGTTAGGGGACAGAATATCATCTCCTTGTGATATCTCGTTACTATTTCTTATTGACCATAGGAGATTTGTTAGGGGACAGACTATCATCTCCTTGTGATATCTCGTTACTATTTCTTATTGACCATAGGAGATTTGTTAGGGGACAGAATATCATCTCCTTGTGATATCTCGTTACTATTTCATATTGACCATAGGAGATTTGTTAGGGGACAGGATATCATCTCCTTGTGATATATCTCGTTACTATTTGATATTGACCATAGGAGATTTGTTAGGGGGGACAGAATATGTGATCTCGTTACTTGTGATATCTCGTTACTATTTGTTATATTGACCATAGGAGATTTGTTAGGGGACAGAATATCATCTCCTTGTGATATCTCGTTACTATTTGATATTGACCATAGGAGATTTGTTAGGGGACAGAATATCATCTCTTTGTGATATCTCGTTACTATTTGATATTGACCATAGGAGATTTGTTAGGGGACAGAATATCATCTCCTTGTGATATCTCGTTACTATTTCATATTGACCATAGGAGATTTGTTAGGGGATCAGAATATCATCTGACCATAGGAGATTTGTTGAATATATCTCGTTACTATTTCATATTGACCATAGGAGATTTGTTAGGGGACAGAATATCATCTCCTTGTGATATCTCGTTACTATTTGATATTGACCATAGGAGATTTGTTAGGGGACAGAATATATCATCCTTGTGATATCTCGTTACTATTTGATATTGACCATAGGAGATTTGTTAGGGACAGAATATCATCTCCTTGTGATATCTCGTTACTATTTGATATTGACCATAGGAGATTTGTTAGGGGACAGAATATCATCTCCTTGCGATATCTCGTTACTATTTCATATTGACCATAGGAGATTTGTTAGGGGACAGAATATCATCTCCTTGTGATATCTCGTTACTATTTCATATTGACCATAGGAGATTTGTTAGGGGACAGAATATCATCTCCTTGTGATATCTCGTTACTATTTCTTATTGACCATAGGAGATTTGTTAGGGGACAGAATATCATCTCCTTGTGATATCTCGTTACTATTTCTTATTGACCATAGGAGATTTGTTAGGGGACAGAATATCATCTCCTTGCGATATCTCGTTACTATTTGATATTGACCATAGGAGATTTGTTAGGGGACAGAATATCATCTCCTTGATATCTCGTTAGGGGACAGAATACTATTTGATATCTGATATTGACTATGTGATATTGACCATAGGAGATTTGTTAGGGGACAGATATCTCGTTACTATTGATATTGATCTCCTTGCGATATCTCGTTACTATTTCATATTGACCATAGGAGATTTGTTAGGGGACAGAATATCATCTCCTTGTGATATCTCGTTACTATTTGATATTGACCATAGGAGATTTGTTAGGGGACAGAATATCATCTCCTTGCGATATCTCGTTACTATTTGATATTGACCATAGGAGATTTGTTAGGGGACAGAATATCATCTCCTTGTGATATCTCGTTACTATTTCATATTGACCATAGGAGATTTGTTAGGGGACAGAATATCATCTCCTTGTGATATCTCGTTACTATTTGATATTGACCATAGGAGATTTGTTAGGGGACAGAATATCATCTCCTTGTGATATCTCGTTACTATTTGATATTGACCATAGGAGATTTGTTAGGGGATCAGAATATCATCTCCTTGTGATATCTCGTTACTATTTGATATTGACCATAGGAGATTTGTTAGGGGACAGAATATCATCTCCTTGCATAGATATCTCGTTACTATTTCATATTGACCATAGGAGATTTGTTAGGGACAGAATATCATCTCCTTGTGATATCTCGTTACTATTTGATATTGACCATAGGAGATTTGTTAGGGGACAGAATATCATCTCCTTGTGATATCTCGTTACTATTTGATATTGACCATAGGAGATTTGTTAGGGGACAGAATATCATCTCCTTGCGATATCTCGTTACTATTTGATATTGACCATAGGAGATTTGTTAGGGGACAGAATATCATCTCCTTGCGATATCTCGTTACTATTTCTTATTGACCATAGGAGATTTGTTAGGGGACAGAATATCATCTCCTTGTGATATCTCGTTACTATTTGATATTGACCATAGGAGATTTGTTAGGGGACAGAATATCATCTCCTTGCGATATCTCGTTACTATTTGATATTGACCATAGGAGATTTGTTAGGGGACAGAATATCATCTCCTTGTGATATCTCGTTACTATTTATTTGATATTGACCATAGGAGATTTGTTAGGGGACAGAATATCATCTCCTTGTGATATCTCGTTACTATTTCATATTGACCATAGGAGATTTGTTAGGGGACAGAATATCATCTCCTTGTGATATCTCGTTACTATTTGATATTGACCATAGGAGATTTGTTAGGGGACAGAATATCATCTCCTTGTGATATCTCGTTACTATTTGATATTGACCATAGGAGATTTGTTAGGGGACAGAATATCATCTCCTTGTGATATCTCGTTACTATTTCATATTGACCATAGGAGATTTGTTAGGGGACAGAATATCATCTCCTTGCGATATCTCGTTACTATTTCATATTGACCATAGGAGATTTGTTAGGGGACAGAATATCATCTCCTTGTGATATCTCGTTACTATTTGATATTGACCATAGGAGATTTGTTAGGGGACAGAATATCATCTCCTTGTGATATCTCGTTACTATTTCATATTGACCATAGGAGATTTGTTAGGGGACAGAATATCATCTCCTTGTAGTATCTCGTTACTATTTGATATTGACCATAGGAGATTTGTTAGGGGACAGAATATCATCTCCTTGTGGTATCTCGTTACTATTTGATATTGACCATAGGAGATTTGTTAGGGGACAGAATATCATCTCCTTGTGATATCTCGTTACTATTTGATATTGACCATAGGAGATTTGTTAGGGGACAGAATATCATCTCCTTGTGATATCTCGTTACTATTTCTTATTGACCATAGGAGATTTGTTAGGGGACAGAATATCATCTCCTTGTGATATCTCGTTACTATTTGATATTGACCATAGGAGATTTGTTAGGGGACAGAATATCATCTCCTTGTGATATCTCGTTACTATTTCATATTGACCATAGGAGATTTGTTAGGGGACAGAATATCATCTCCTTATGATATCTCGTTACTATTTCATATTGACCATAGGAGATTTGTTCGGATTGGATAGAGTTTGTTCCCTTTTAGTTACAGGATATCCCGTATTCTGCATTTGAGTAATCGGCTTGCTCTTGCTCGTACATTATCTTCCCCACATTCATGAAGCTGTTGGCGGCTGAGGTGCACTGTGTACATGCCATGCTATCAGCTCCCGGAGCTCATTCTGAAAGTTTCTGAACAGCGTAGTACTGAACATTCTGGAACATTTCTCAGACAACATAAGGGTTCTTTCAGCCTTGATATCCAGCCTTGACAGTGTTGATGTTGAGTCAATATGACTGTGGATATGTTTGATAGTCAACATAATACATAACGAGTATCTGTGCTTTTTCGGAATTTTGACCAGATTTGCTGCTCCGTGAACATCATAATCACTTGTTATGACTTTATTACTATTACCGCTGTTATATCATTTCTGTCAATGCCAGTTTTATAAAGTTGACTTTTGGTGAAAACTGAGACCCCGTGAAGATCCATTTTAGAATTGGTCTTCAACAACCCATGCTTATCTCCCCGTGAAGATCCGGTTTAGAATAGGTATTCAACAACCCAAGCTTGTCTCCCCGTGAAGATCCGGGTTAGAATTGGTCTTCAACAACCCATGCTTGTCTCCCCGTGAAGATCCGGTTTAGAATAGGTATTCAACAACCCAAGCTTGTCTCCCCGTGAAGATCCGGGTTAGAATTGGTCTTCAACAACCCATGCTTATCGTAAGAAGCAGTGCCAAATTGTTGTTTTAGGTGAACACCTTATTTGGTTGACACATCTCATCGTATCCCTCTGTTCATGCCGTTGATCACTGGATTGCCTGGTCCAGATTCGACTTTTTTTTACAGATCATTGTCATAAAGCTGGAATATTGCTGAGTGTGGTGTTAAACTAAGTTAAATTCTGCACGTGTACGTGCACGTGTACGGTGGTGTACCTAGTTCCCTTTTCCGTTGAACAACAAACACGTATATAACAGAGAAACTGACACTGTCCATGCCTGGATAGTTCTGCAGTCTTGGAGACGGATAAGGAGTATACTGTAATCTCCAAGTGTGGAGTTCCAAACCTGATATTGTCTGTGAAAGAGAGTCTGACTTTGCGTGAAGCTTCCATCTATATGCACCATGACACAGATAAAGGATCACATGTCTTAAGATTGGATTAAGGCTGTCGTAAGTATTTTGTTCCAAACTTAATCCTTCACGTGCGACATGTACGCTCACGATCTGTCTCTCAACTTGTCCCATATAATGTACATATATACCGTCATACGTCCATTCACACCCATTAAGGGGAGAGGAACGTTGATTTGTGTGTCATAGACATCGAAGGATTGGTGCGTCTTAAAGAAAACACATAGAGTTCTAAAAGTCCTTAAACAGACAGCCAATATGGCAGGGAGATTGCTCACTTACATTCTTGGAGTGATACTTTGTTGTGCCAGCTGTGCTGCCTTCAACATAAATTTGCCGTTTGTAAACAAAGGCACTGTAGGCTCTCCTACAAGTCTGAACACTAATCCGGCAGCACCCGCTCCCATGCCTGCTCCACTCCAACCTCCATCTATTGGTCAACCAGCAGCTGCACCAGCTGTAGCACCAAGTCCAACAGCAGCTGTCCCGAGTCTAACTGCAGCTGTCCCAGGGCTAATCGCTGCTGTTCCGGGTCCAACTGCTGCTGCTCCACCACCATCAGGGTCCGGAGCTCCGCCATCGCTCGGTTCTCTGAACCTACTTACAGCAGTGACCAAAAAGCAGCGGGAAATATTCAAAGACGTTGACTTCGAAATTTCACCAAGTGCCTTTGATTTAGATTTCAATGTCTTTAAGGCCAAAACTGAGACTGGATTGACACAGTTAAACTGTGGGAAGAAATGCATAGACACAGACGACTGTGTGATGGTTCTACACTGTCAAATGGAAGCTAGTCCTCCAGTCACGACAGCTTCGCCCTGTGTGTTTGAGATAGGAAAGCCACCATGCCAATTTAGTGCAGGTGCTGGAAGGTCGAGAGCAAGCAGTTCCGAGTACTGCCACATCTTCAATGAGACACTCACAAAAAGGGAGTTTGGTTATGACGACTGGGGAATCAACTGCACCTACGCTGTGTACCGTAAGTGTTTTGAGTTGTACTTAGCTGTTGTGAATGTGATGAGCAGTATTGAGTTAGTGAGTTAGTTTTAACCCGCTTTTAGCGATATTCCAGCAATATCACGGGTCTTCGACGTGGCCACGAGGTTACCCCAGCGCCTCTGAACAGTATTGACGTGGTATCACAGCATGTCAGTTTGATGTTAGAGGATGTTAGAGGATGTTAGAGGATGCGGTTTTCAGACGTTTATCAGTGCGCTGAAACCCAGGAGCATGGGTTTGATGCAAACAAATCTTGAACAGTGATTCGTATCAAAGTTTCTATCATGACCAGGAGACAACTCTGTTCAGACAACTGCAGCGATTACGAAACATGGCCACTTGTGCCCCCTAAATAGTTTAAATATTCTTCACACAATATGACTTTTCCTTTTAATATAATGAAAATAAATAAATAAATAAATAAATAAATAAATAAATAAATAAATAAATAAATAAATAAATAAATAAATAAATAAATAAATAAATAAATAAATAAATAAATAAATAAATAAATAAATAAATAAATAAAATAAACGCCAGTCACAATACTCGGGGAATTGCTGCTTGATTGAACCAATATTAAAAATGTGAAATGAGTTTAAAGAACCTTCGACATTCCGTGTTTACAAACTTGCAGAGGTCGGAAATGACTTGAGTAACTCCTCTTTGTGGTTGTGTCATATTGTATCAAATATGCGTCTTTATAATTTAAGGTCTAAACAGAAGACATCTAATTGTCGTACAGGTAATTTTTAATATATGTTCTTTTTAATTTTCAACGTAAAAGAAATTAGAGTTCAGTTAAAGATATCTTTGTTTCTTTGTGACGAGCATGTTGAACATTCTCTACAGCCCCGGGATATTTAACTTTGAGATAAAGAAAACATGTGGCCATATTCGCGACAGTACTTGTTAACTGGGAAACTGATGGAACATCACGAAATTCGATAACTTGTTGTGTTGATGTATCGGTAAGTGCAGCTCTTTCAGAAATATTTACGGACTTGTATTCGTTGTACATCATCCTTAACATTTTTGCAAGATCACTTTTGCTCCAAAATGAAACAAAAAGGCTGGTCATCCATTCGTGACCCACTCGTGTTATTCCGGGGAAAAACCGAACAGCGACAGGTGCTCCTCTGGAACATTCGTGACCCACTCGTGTTATTCCGGGAAAACCAAACAGCGACAGGTGGCCATCTGGAAGGAATTTATATTGGCGTGCGAACATCAGAACTACTTCAAACAACGACATCTCTATTTTGGTGAAAGATTCCAACCTTAAAATACAATACTACAATAATGATGATTATGGATTATTTACATCATTACCGGCTGTTCACCCCAATTTCTAAATGTATATCACTAAGTATGGTTTAAGAATCGCAGATGGGATTATTTCCGCTGAATAGGCAATTGGAATAAAGTTATATTTCAGCTGTACCAGCTACACAAGAAGGACATGCTACGACTGGAATATTAAATCAATACGCTGCAAAAGCTATACAGGACCCGCAAACGTCAGACTAAACTATCCCAAGTGAAGTGAAATGTGAGCATGCTGTTTAAAATTCAAGTTGATAAGTATGAATATATTGTTTTGAAACTGGTAGATTATATATAATTACATTACCTAAAAATGCCGGAAAGCGCAAGTAACATCCCAAAAACAAGCCCCAAGATCGCCAGAGAAAACTCAGTTTGACCCATTGTAAGTAAAAGTACATGTGTGTATTTGAATGTCTTACCGTTCATGACACTATCCTTTTGAAAATTTCAAATGAGGCAACACAATTCTGTTAGTTATGTTTTTTGTAATGTCAAAATGACGATATATATTTTTCATAATTTTTTAAACAATCACATAATACCATAACCGACTTAAGTACTCGAGATCCTTTTCATCAAAAAGTATCTCAACCCTTCCACGCATTCTGATTGGTTAGTTATACTTTCGCACATAGCATTCATCGATATGTTTACGAGTCTTCTTGGAGGTTACGGAACGGGGTGAGTGGTGGCGAATGCTTATTTCCGTGTATTTCAGAATGACCTTGAGTTATTTTTATCATTGGTAATCACAGTATGGCCAAAAGCATACATCTCATTTGGAGACAGTCTTCATCATGTTCGGTCTTTCACTGTAATTGACACGCAAGGACTGAATTTATGAAACAATGAATCTAAGATATAATGAGTAACTTCTGTAAATGTTTAGTGAAGTGTCAGAAGGATTCTTATGAACATCTGTGGAAAATGTGTAACACGTCTTATTGGTAATTGGTAATAGGGTTTTAAAGAGAAAGTGTTTCAAAATCAAATACGCTTGGATAAATAAAGAATGCTGGAACGCTTATGGGATTCAAAGATATCATATGTATTGGCATAAGGTAAGTATGGTAGTATGTTACAGCTGTGTTTGAAGCTGGCAATAGCGAGTCTGGACCAGACAATCCAGTGATTGACATCCTGTTGTCAGGGCATCGAGAACAGAAGACGAGGATAGAAAATGTATAATAGAGACGACGAATCCCTTTCACAGTACAGTTGTATCTATATCAAGAGTATGTGTTTTTTGACGTGGACTGTAAACAATGGAATCTGGACCAGACAATCCTGTGCGTGATAATTTGAGATACGGTTACAGAGTGTGTTTTGAATCACTATTATAGAGTGATAATAGCAGGTATTGACAAAAAGGTCAGCATATACGGCCCCACATGTGGCATCCGTCCTAACATATGCAAAGACCAGTCGACTGCTCAACTGAAACAACTCGGGAATATATGGTATAAGTAAAAAAAATGGGAATTGCATAGGACATCGATTTTGTCAATGATACATCAATTCTGAAATGTATTCCACTTGTGTACCATAAAACTGTTTGAAGGCTGAACCAACGGCTTGAATGTTGTAACCTTGATCGAACAACTTGATCCAGCAAGAGTCGCATGACTGCTCTTTGAAATGTTGGTAAAAAGAGCCAGCTAGACTGTACCTCAAAGGTTTTGAAATGTAAATGGATCTTTTGGAATATTGCTTGACGTGAAGAAGAGAGGACAAAGCGCTGAAGCTGACAGAGTGGGAAATTCAAAAAGTTAGAATAGGACTTCAGATTGAGTGAAGTGGAATTGCAAGAAGATCACCTTGACATGCTGAATCACTGGAATCTGCCAATACCCTTCATTAGGTCAAACTTGGTGATGCACTTGGCATGACCGATACTGATTTGTATTTGGTAAGAATATGTTTTCGAAACAGTATTTAACCATAAATTTCTGTAAGGACTTTAACCAGGCTTCAGCACAACTATCACAATTTCTTTGTTCAATTATGCCGTTGTTGAACAAGTACTGAACTGCAAGCTTGTTTGGAATCATCTGGTAGGGATGTTGTTTCACTGGCACAACGTCTCCATCATCTACATAACGACCAAGTAGCAAACTGTTTTATTAACTCTACCACACATGCTGTGAATTTGGAAGATCAGTTTAAATAATTATTCTCAATTCATTATCAACAGGAACATCTGGTGGCATCATTTCCTCTTCAAGAAGCAATCCTGTCCCAGCAAATGTTACCTTGCTAGTTTCTTCTAAAGAAAGTCCAATTTATAGAGTTCTGTGACCTCAGCCTGTAACTTAACCAATTACTTCCTACACTGAACTGGTTCCTCAAAAGCCCACATTTAATTACTCTCGCTTTTTAATTGAGAGAGAATGGGAGAATTCTTGTCAAAAGAATGAGCTATGAAAGTTCCAACCATATCCCAATTGGAATCAATCTCGGAAGACATTTTCACAGCCAGAGACAGGACAATTTCCTGGAATTGCTTTGTCAGAATTTTCAGTTCCTTCCAGTACAACATGCAGGGCATACATCATCAATACATCCAATTAACCAGAGATTGGCTGATGCTCCTCAGACAGAGCAAAGTATCACCAAAACAGCAGAGGTTGAAGACCACAATCCACGAGTCAGTGATGGGCAAAATTGGAGATACAATCCTAAATTAAGCCATCCTCTTTCACAACGACTGACATTGATGATTTCTCATTACACGCCGGTGTTAACGCCGAATTACATCCCTCACTGCTCGTCTATCAAAATCATCCAGTTTCTCTTTCTTAGGATGTTTTGAGATGCTCCCCGACCCAGTCGGGGTTTCAGTGTCAGACTCTGTATCATTGTCAAGAGAGATAATGCGATGAAGCCTTGTTCTTGAAACCTTGGTTGCATGAAGTGTACGTTTCGTGAAGCAAGTCAGAGAAATAAAGGTTTTTGTCTCTTGGCTTCTTTCTTGAAAAACGCATGTACTCTTTTAACTATATCCCGTGCATCTTTAGACTAGCTGTGACGTCACAAACACTCCCCATGAAATGCTCGTGCATACATGTACATAACGTGTTGACACATATTGCGACATTGTTGATAGCTATTCCAGTACTTGCCAGTACTCCCTTGTGAAAATGTTGTTGTCAGAAACTGTGTATGATAGTTTCTTAAGTAAAATCTTTAATAGCTGATATCAATTTTAGCAATTCAACACCTAAATAGGTCGTCAGATATCATTATCAACTGAGTGAATAAAAGTTGGATACCTTTTGTTGTTTAAACGTAACTTGCAAAAACCCGTGTTCCAAAAGTTAGGTTGACGGACTATAGCCCAATCATAATACGCTTCTGACCTTATGTTCACAAGAAGCAGATGGGGGTAAATGACAGCTCAGAAATTATATGCCCTGAAAGCAAAGTCTACAACTGGGCTCTGACGACAATCCAGAGATATCTGGTGATCCAAGAGGAGAAGAAATAACTCATTGTTGACATATTCAGAACGAGACTGAGACATGTGAGAACTAGATTTGTTTTGATTGTATCATTGAACCTGTTGATGACTGGCTCCAGAAGGACAACCTGGCCTTCTACAGTCTGGTACATTTCTGAAATGGAGTTTGTCTACTTATACGAAACGTTCACCCCCTACAATGATCTTTATACCCAGTTTCATCTAGAAATACTCATATGCTCCAGAAATAAGAACTACTCTCATTTACTGTAAAGCCGTCGTGTCGTCATAAAAGAAAAAAGAACAACTAAAATACCCATGCCCAATTAGGAAAACGCGCTTGGTACTGGGCTGATGTGTATAATGCAAATTGTTTCCAGTAATGTTCAACAGTTTTGGAATTCCGGAAACAAGCATTTTCCTCGTTTTAGTGAAGTCATTTATGGAAACGTTATTGTAAAAATATTTAAAGGTAGATATCGAAAATATGCTCTGATCTGTACAGGAGACTTTATTTAGAACAAAAATCAACTGTTTAAGAATTCTGCTCCGGAAACGAACTAAACTCTCATTTTAACATATTTAGAGGTAGGAGTCTTATCAACACAGGGTTACATCAAGAATTGTTCACCACTGTCAGAATTCTGCTTCGCAAACATGAGCAAAGCTCGTTGAAAGCATAATTTCAACTTGTCGCTAACGCAACTCAAAAACTATAATGTAATAAATAGAACAAAATCCCAAACTGAATTTGGTTTAACATATAAATAACGATTTTTAATGATGCTAATGATAGCTGATACCATATTCAACATGTATTGTCTTGATTTTCAAAATCCTTTTGTCTTGTATCACCAGATCCAAACTGCAGAGACCTTAAAGAGATTCCCGAGACCTGGAAGCGAGCTATACGACGCCCCGCGTTCAGTGAGAACAGCTCAGTTGTCATACACTACGAGTGCCAAGATGGCTATTCAGCTGAGGGTGTTGGCGTCCTTATTGCAACCTGCCATATGGATGGGAAGGTGGATCTGAAAGAAGATTACAAGTGTATCAGTATGTTTATATCTTTCTGTTTATGAAAAATATATATCAATATTACGTGTCTTCCGGGACTGCATGTTTGTTTAACATTCAAATCAAAGTTTCATGTTTTCATGAAAAATGTTTATGGTCAAGTCTCTGGCATATTTCCTTCAGCGAGCAGGGTACAATTTCGTTTAGAGCAATATATGTGAGCAGTCTAAGGACAGGGTCACCAATGGACTCCACACTCTTATCTGTGGGATTTCGAACAGATTTCATACATGTAACAAGTCAACTGTATCCAATTGGCTATGAAGCCACACACTGTAGCTGATCAAACATTAACAGTTGTGATTATGTAATACATAAATGTTAAACGGTATAAGCAACGTGTCTAAATTTGTGTTCAACCGTATTTTCACTTGAAAGAGTCAAGATAAAGATAAGAAAGGCTAAACTTGGAAGATGGAACGGAATAGGGCCCTGACAGTGAATGCATCAAATGTGTCATGCATAAACTGATGTTCAGTATAATTGTCAATGTTTGCAGAATCTGAATCTGAAAGTGAAGTTCCAGCTCCTAACCAATCACCTTTGCTTCCATTGTTACCTGGGCCTCCAATAATATTGATGAATCCTGACTTTGGCGGTTTCAACCAAAGACCTGTACCAACGCCTGCTCCAACAACCACAACTACTGTAACGCCTGCTCCGACAACCACAACAACAGCTCCAACAACCGCAACTAATGCTCCGACAACAACTAATGCTCCAACAACCGCAACTAATGCTCCAACAACCACAACTAATGCTCCAACAACCGCAACTAATGCTCCGACAACAACTAATGCTCCAACAACCGCAACTAATGTTCCAACAACCGCAACTAATGCTCCAACAACCGCAACTAATGCTCCAACAACCGCAACTAATGCTCCAACAACCGCAACTAATGCTCCAACAACCGCAACTAATGCTCCAACAACAACTAATGCTCCAACAACAACTAATGCTCCAACAACAACAACTAATACTCCAACAACAACTAATGCTCCAACAACAACAACTAATGCTCCAACAACAACTAATGCTCCAACAACAACTAATGCTCCAACAACAACAACTAATGCTCCAACAACAACTAATGCTCCAACAACAACTAATGCTCCAACAACCGCAACTAATGCTCCGACAACCACAACATCCTCAACAACAACAACATCCCCAACAACAACAACATCTCCAACAACAACATCTCCAACAACAACTCCTGCTCCAACAACCACAACATCCCCAACAACAACTCCTGCTCCAACAACAACAACATCCCCAACAACAACTCCTGCTCCAACAACCACAACATCCCCAACAACAACAACATCTCCAACAACAACAACATCTCCAACAACAACAACATCCCCAACAACAACTCCTGCTCCAACAACCACAACATCCCCAACAACAACTCCTGCTCCAACAACAACAACATCTCCAACAACAACAACATCTCCAACAACAACAACATCCCCAACAACAACAACATCTCCAACAACAACAACATCTCCAACAACAACAACATCTCCAACAACAACAACATCCCCAACAACAACTAATGCTCCAACAACATCCCCAACAACAACTCCTGCTCAGACAACCACAACATCCCCAACAACAACATCTCCAACAACAACAACATCTCCAACAACAACAACATCTCCAACAACAACAACATCCCCAACAACAACTAATGCTCCAACAACCACAACATCCTCAACAACAACATCCCCAACAACAACAACATCCCCAACAACAACAACATCCCCAACAACCACAACATCCCCAACAACAACAACATCCCCAACAACAACAACAACAACAACAACAACCACAACAACAACAACATCCAACAACAACAACAACATCCCCAACAAACAACAACAACAACAACAACATCCCCAACAACAACAACATCTCCAACAACAACAACATCCCCAACAACAACTAAACAACAACATCCCCAACAACATCCCCAACAACAACATCCCAACAACAACATCCCCAACAACAACAACATCCCCAACAACAACAACATCTCCAACAACAACAACATCAACAACAACCAACAACAACAACAACAACATCCCAACAACAACAACAACCCCCCCAACAACAACAACAAACCACATCCCAACAACAACAACATCCCCAACAACAACAACATCCCCAACAACAACAACATCCCCAACAACAACAACATCCCCAACAACAACAACATCCCCAACAACAACATCTCCAACAACAACAACATCCCCAACAACCACAACATCCCCAACAACAACAACATCCCCAACAACAACAACATCCCCAACAACAACAACATCCCCAACAACAACAACATCCCCAACAACAACAACATCCCCAACAACCACAACATCCCCAACAACAACATCCCCAACAACAACAACATCCCCAACAACAACAACATCCCCAACAACAACAACATCCCCAACAACCACAACATCCCCAACAACAACAACATCCCCAACAACAACAACATCCCAACAACAACAACATCCCCAACAACAACAACATCCCCAACAACAACAACATCCCCAACAACAACAACATCCCCAACAACCACAACATCTCCAACAACAACTCCTGCTCCAACCACAACCACGACAACTACAACCACCACACCTACAACTACAACCACCACTACAACTACCCCTACTACAACTACAACTACGCCGGAAATCGACACGACCGAGCTGAATCCGTATAGGCGTAAGTCCAGTTTTATTTATGAGAACGCATGTATTTCCGTCGGACAAATTTCCATTGTTAGCAAAATGAGGAAATCGAGTGTTTTCACACCAAATGTACATGTTTGGCGTTTTGTTCTATGATATGAACAGCATAAATGCCTTTATTTTCCCTTCAGCAACCACAAGCATTACTGCAACTAAAACACATTATAGCAGAATCAGCTTCCTCTGAACAGATCGGCGTTTGTTTGCAAACAGGACACGCTTGACATTTCCCAAGGTTACATTTTCAGTTGCCCCAAACTATTCAGATAACTATGAAATATCAACCCAGTGCCAAATGCCGAAGTGCCGTGAATCATTTGAAACTGTATTGTTTTCTTTTTGAAGTTTAGAGTATATAAGGAATGTGTGTTCTTTTGTTCAAAAGTAAATTTATCGATGAGTTTCAAATTTATTGGATCCTTTTATGATTAATTTATTTGCATTGACAATATAAGTGACTGTTTGTGTATAGTCAAGTGGACAAATACCAGAAGCAAAGACCACCGAGTATCACCATTACGGAACAAACTGACCACAGTCCAGTCAAGATCAAGATCAAGATGGTTTATTGTACATAAGGCCTCTGGCCCGTATACATAGTATTGTAATGACAGGCAAGGTATGGACATTGCAAACAGTGGAAAGCATCATAAGATTGTTAGATTAGTTGACAGGAGAAATTAAACTCTTCCTTAAAGACAGCGAATGTGTTAAAAACATGGCTAATTTTCCATGGACAGATTCGTCTTTTGATGATAAAATTCTTATAAGTGTTTCCCTTGTAGGGTGACCCAGATATTTTTGTGGAATGTACTCCTTTCTTAAATCGGCATAAGCGTCACATATAAATAACAGATGATATTCGTCTTCGATATCCTCCATACAGACAGGGCAAAATCTGAGATTATGAATGCATTTCACCAAAGAGCCGTGGATATGTTTCGCCAGAATTGGATGAATACCCTTAATCTAAGTTCAAGATTTGATGTATATAGATCCTTTAAAACACGTTCCAGTCAGTAAACAGAACGCTCAGTATATATCCAGCAGGAGAAGATAGGACCAAATCATCGAAATATATGATCAAATAAAATACTAAGGATGTTTTATTAATGCTCGATGTTCGATGTATAGTGTGTTCATGACAATTACCGGGTGGCACGAAATATCAACGCTTGTCGGTTTTGAAAATGTAGTGTATGTCATTGTGTTCATTTCGGCCAACGACAACTATCGTCTCTCGCAACTGCTTAAATGTTTTGCTTCTCTAATAGATAGAAGCGACAAAATCCTTTCCACATTTATAAGAAATCTCCGCCAAAAGGAGAATCGATGATACAGTTGTGACTATTTCATGAGCAGATATTTGTTTCAGCTGTATTACAGCTGTGTGATGTTGTTTGTAAGCAAATCGGGTCTGGACCAGACAATCCAGTGATTGTCACCATGCGATACGATGACAGAGTATGTAATTATGAATCACTATGAAATAGTGGTGATACCAGGTGTTCGCCAACACGTCACCCTACCTTGCCCCACCGGTGGCACCCGTCACAAACATATGCTAGGTCTCGTCAATTGTTCACTTGAAATAATTTGGGAACGTATGGTATAAGTCAAAATAGGGAATCATTTTTGTCACTGATGCATTAAATTTGGAAATTTCCTCCACATAATACTTCTTGAAAGCTTTACCGAAGCCTTGAATGATTAGCCAGAATAAAAGGTGGCATGACGCTCTTTGAAATCCTAATAAAAAGAGCACGCTCGATTGTAACTCAAAAGTTGTGAAATGTAATCACCAAAGGCTGGAGCTGTTGGAATCAACGATGAACGTTATTCGTTAACGTATGCATTGCTGTAGACGAAAACGCTAATCAAAAATTCTAACCACCCGTTCTCGGATTTTTCTGTAGTAAATTATACGGCGTATCGCCCAATGGTGAAGGCCGCCATTGCGCAGTCCTTGTTGAGGTCAGTGAAGCGTCAGCGCAGCATACCCCGGGAACCAGACTACCGAAAGTACTGAAACTGGTAACGACAAGTTCCCAGTTACTTGGTTTTTACTTGTTAGTTTTCTTTTTAAGTTTGTTTTATTGTTTCAGCACTAGACTGCATGAACGGCTATATCTATAAAACTGACGGAAATCTGTGCTTCCAAGTCTATACTGGTTACGTCCTGAGTTTCGACAACGCTCAGTACATGTGTAATTACCTTACTGGTGGAGCAGGTGGACTTGCAACACTGTCAACGTCGAAAAAGTTCAAAGTGGCTCAACATTATCTGCGAGACGGTATGTAAAGTAGACTGCTTGAAAACTATCTTAATTTAGTTTTAAGAATCCACGATCATGGTGAGGTGAGGTGAAATTGGGTTTTACGTCGTACTTGAGAATATTTCGCTCATAAGACGACGTGCATGCGTGTGTATGTGTATGTGCGGCTGCTTGTACTAGCCCAGATTTATGCTGGTTTTATAGTGCTAGCCCACTGAGATACAATGCCGCAGTGAAGCATGAATACTCCACCCAGACACATTATACTGACTCCGAGCCGACCAGTCCTTGTTGTACCCATTAATGCCGAGCGCCAGGCAGGGACCAACAAGTACCATATTTTAACGTCTTTTGGTCAGACGCGGTCGGGGATCGAACCCCCGACCTTCCGCTCTCCGGGCGGACGCTCTAACCACTACACCACGGAGGCGGACTCCATGATCATGGAATACCCGTTATCGCGTTTCTTTTTGTTTCATGGTGACATCAGTTTCATCATGACGTGAATCCGTCTGGTTTTCAAGTTTTTGTGGGGGCGGTGGGGAAGCCTAGTGGTTAAAGCGTTCGCTCGTCACGTCGAAGACCCGGATTCGATTCCCCACATGGGTACAATGTGTGAAGCCAATGTCTTCATTTGTGAAGTATATTCAGAAAATAGATTTGTCATCACATATAAATTGATTAGAACTGAACTAGAATCATAATGATGACATCATATATCGAATACCAATGCACTAAATGTCTTGACAAATTGTCTGTACTCACATGAAAGAATCAAGTAGTCCTTAGTTTCATTTGAGTCGTATATGATCATAGATGCGCATCTCAGAGTTCACGAAATCTAAGAGTTCACGAAATCTAAGGCACCGCAGAGTGCCCCCCTTGGGTACGCCAGGACCCTGTGATCATTGGTTCGAATCCCAGTTTGCCCTGATTATGCCCCTAGGTTTGTCTCATAGGTTTCATCAAACTGCTGAACTTGGGACGTCTGCCTCACTTCAGGCTTTCTCCAGGATTGACCCGTGAAGGTCCGAGTTAGAATATTGGCCTTCAGTAACCCATGCTTGTCTCCCCATGAAGATCCGGGTTAGAATATTGGCCTTCAGTAACCCATGCTTGTCTCCCCGTGAAGATCCGGGTTAGGATATTGGCCTTCAGTAGCCCAGGGGGAGAAGATCCGAGTTAGAATATTGGCCTTCAGTAACCCATGCTTGTCTCCCCGTGAAGGTCCGGGTTAGAATATTGGCCTTCAGTAACCCATGCTTGTCTCCCCGTGACGATCCGGGTTAGAATATTGGCCCTCAGTAACCCATGCTTGGGGTGAAGATCCGAGTTAGAATATTGGCCTTCAGTAACCCATGCTTGTCTCCCCGTGAAGATCCGGGTTAGAATATTGGCCTTCAGTAACCCATGCTTGTCTCCCCGTGAAGATCCGGGTTAGAATATTGGCCTTCAGTAACCCATGCTTGTCTCCCCGTGAAGGTCCGGGTTAGAATATTGGCCTTCAGTAACACATGCTTGTCTCCCCGTGAAGATCCGAGTTAGAATATTGGCCTTCAGTAACCCATGCTTGTCGTAAGAGGCGACTAACGGGATCGGGTGGTCAGGCTAGCTGACTTGGTTGACACATGTTATCGGTTCCCAATTGCGTAGATCGATGCTCATGCTGTTGATCACTGGATTGTCTGACTCGATTATTTGCAGACCGCCGCCATATAGCTGGAATATTGCTGAGTACGGCGTAAAACTAAACTCACTCACTCATTCACCAGTATTAGGATGACACGCCGTGATAGAACTGGAGCACTTATGTATAACTGTCGCATCAGTTCTTTGTGAGAAGGTGAATAGCTCCTAGCTACAGGAACAATGCTATTGCTACAGCGACTGCAGCCAACAGCCATGGTAATACACCGACGATGTTGTCAGCACTGAGATCGATGTTCGGACAGACCGACATGTCATTTTAACCCTTTGTTACATTCAATAAAGAAATCGGCGGTGGGATAGCCTGACAGTTAATATATATAGCGTCATCTCGTCACGCTGAAGACCACGTGGGCACAATGTGTGAAGCCCATTTGTTGTGTCACCCGCCGTGATACTGCTGGAATATTGCTAAAGCGGCGTAAAACCATACTCACACAAACCCATACACGCACGTCTTACTGTTGATTTAACCTTGTTTACAGAATTCCCTGAAGGAACGTTTTTCTGGGTTGGATCAGAGCAGTGGCAGAGTAGAGACAACTACGCGTACTACTGGTTCTTCGTATTTTATTACTATTTCAACTACAACTACTGGGCCGACTCTCATAAAGTTGACAAACACGTTTGGGCTCCGGGGCAACCTGACAAAGGTTCTGAAAGATGCAACGCCATCACCCGAAATGAAAACCTGCAGCTCATGGACAGCAGCTGTGGAAACAAGTTTGACTACATCTGTGACATTCCGTGCTGGAAGTCGACAGACGTAAGTGGAACCTTTGTTAATTTCACACATACACATGCATGTTGTACCAAGTATGTCGTGGAAACCAGACACACGTAACCTGCACGTGACCCACTCGTGTTATTCCGGAACAAGCCGAGTAGCGACTCGTGTCGGCGTAGGAATACCTGAGCTACTTTAAACAAGAACGATAACTCTATTTCTGCGCAATGCCAATAGTTATAACACTCACATATCACTGTACTTCATAAACGATTCAAATCTCTTTGATTACCACAATGAATGAAGATAGTAATTTGTTGAAAACATTTTCTAGATGAAATTATTCTCAGCTGTTCATGTTTTATTTCGAAATGCATCAATCGAAATCAGATTTTTTAGTTTAAAAAAGAGTAAAATACGTCTATTCTATTAACTACAAAATTAACAAGTCCAAATACTGGAACACATTTGTCAATACATGGTCAAACGTTAGTATCAAGTTTGACTACTTTTTTCAAATTTATTTTCCATAAACTAATTCTGTCAGCATTTATTGTTTTCGTGTTTTCTTCATAAATAGAGGTACCATTAACAGAAAAATATTTTGAATTAGAATTGTCGAATAACGGAATGATGTTTCTCTCTCTCTCTTTGGATTGTACCAGATAAATTGCTAGGCTGAACAATTCCATGCGCAGTGGGGCGAATACCCCAGTGCTGTCTATTGTGTCGTCATTCTCCACAAAGTCTAATCCTGAAGACATATTGTTAAGGTTCATTGAAGGCTGTATATATTCTTCAGTCGTCACATCGCCGTTTAAGATTTAAGAGTCCTTGATTTTGTTGTCATTTCTTAAATTTATAAAAACAAACTTAAAAGGACGTTAAGTTAAGTTAAGATATTTCAAATTGTTTTCGGTCACACGCATATTTAAGATCTTCCAGATTGCTTTGGCGATTGCTTAAAGTATTTAATTAATATCCTATTTATATTTTCCTTAGATTTTTATATACTCTTAGATTTTCCATACATATTTCGTATTCTTTTGCTTCTTGGCGACATGGCAGTTTATTAAAATCTGTATGATTCTTTAAACACATTTATTTCGTGGTCGCTTACATTTTATTCCGAACGAAGGTTTATCTATTTCACGTTGCCCATATCTAACAGTAATTTCTAGGGAAACGAATAGTGCTTGTGCAAAGGCATGCAATGAACATATCTGAACAGCTTTTAAACATTAGTGTATATTGAGAACAACTGTATTTATTTTCCTCATCTATCATTTTGTTCCAGCTTCGATATGTGACAGTGATTATGTATATCACCGCGAATCCTACATGTGCTTCAAAATAGTGCATTTTGAAGTATACCCTACGGCAGCGGCAGCAGAATGCGCTCACGATGGACGAAACACTGGCCGAGTGATCATCTTGGATACGATGGACAAATTCATGGCTGTTACGGAACATCTGCAAGAAAGTAAGTTGAAACACACACACAACCCCTGTGCGAACATAGTAATCTGCATTAGTTGAAGGACGTAACAATATGTCACATCGACTAGACATACAATATTTATTGTAAGCTTTACGTCAGAAGGACGGTGGGGGTAGCCAAGCGTTTAAAGCGTTCGATCGTCACGCCGAAGACCCGAGTTCGATTACAATGTCACACCAGGTATATACAGTCGAACCTTGTCTTACATCATCTACATGCAGTCACACCTTGTCTTACATCATCTACATACAGTCACACCTTGTCTTGCATCATCTACATACAGTCACACCTTGTCTTACATCATCTACATACAGTCACACCTTGTCTTACATCATCTACATACAGTCACACCTTGTCTTACATCATCTACATGCAGTCACCTTGTCTTACATCATCTACATACAGTCACACCTTGTCTTACATCATCTACATACAGTCACACCTTGTCTTACATCATCTACATACAGTCACACCTTGTCTTACATCATCTACATACAGTCACACCTTGTCTTACATCATCATCTATCATCTACAGTCACACCTTGTCTTACATCATCTACATACAGTCACACCTTGTCTTACATCATCTACATACAGTCACACCTTGTCTTACATCATCTACATACAGTCACACCTTGTCTTACATCATCTACATACAGTCACACCTTGTCTTACATCATCTACATACAGTCACACCTTGTCTTACATCATCTACATACAGTCACACCTTGTCTTACATCATCTACATACAGTCACACCTTGTCTTACATCATCTACATACAGTCACACCTTGTCTTACATCATCTACATACAGTACAGTCACACCTTGTCTTACATCATCTACATACAGTCACACCTTGTCTTACATCATCTACATACAGTCACATCTTGTCTTACATCATCTACATACAGTCACACCTTGTCTTACATCATCTACATACAGTCACACCTTGTCTTACATCATCTACATACAGTCACACCTTGTCTTACATCATCTACATACAGTCACACCTTGTCTTACATCATCTACATACAGTCACACCTTGTCTTACATCATCTACATACAGTCACACCTTGTCTTACATCATCTACATACAGTCACACCTTGTCTTACATCATCTACATACAGTCACACCTTGTCTTACATCATCTACATACAGTCACACCTTGTCTTACATCATCTACATACAGTCACACCTTGTCTTACATCATCTACATACAGTCACACCTTGTCTTACATCATCTACATACAGTCACACCTTGTCTTACATCATCTACATACAGTCACACCTTGTCTTACATCATCTACATACAGTCACACCTTGTCTTACATCATCTACATACAGTCACACCTTGTCTTACATCATCTACATACAGTCACACCTTGTCTTACATCATCTACATACAGTCACAAGGTGTTTCGCACAAGGTACATTGCATGTGGTTCACTGGTCTGACATACAGATCCTGAAACAAATTTCGCCAAGGAAGCCCATTCAAATCTAGAATATGTGGCAAGTTTAGATTTCCACATAAGGAAGAGAGTATTTATGGATGCCAACTTCTATATTATGAGGAACACAGCGTTTCGGTGTATATCCTCACGTCACGTCAAAGACCAAGATTTCCACAGTTTCGGGAATGAAGAAAGTCTCTGGCTCCTTTCATTCTGTTTTATGATTATAATTTACGAACTTGTTTTCTGTAAGATATGTTCATTTCAGAGACTAGAAATTAGTCTAATAGTTCACTTTCTGCTGCAGTTGGTGAAACGGAGCCATATGTTGTTGGAGCAACCCAAGTTTCGATGTGGTATGAGACGAATGCTTGGAATGATGGAACGCAAATAGACCAACGTATGTGGGCTCGTGGGGAGCCAAACAGCATGTTCGAGGAATGTACAGACCTTAGAAGAGAGCTTGGCTATATGTTGAACGACGTCTCATGCTACCTTGAAAGATTTCACTTCATATGTGAAATTCCCCTCACATCGAATCGAGGATGATCAGGATCCGAGGAGTATTTTGTTTAGATTTTGTTAAAGCAAATGGAATTCTTTGACGCAATGTCGTGTTATTAATGTTTGTCAGGAAACACATAATCACTCACTGGTTACAGTGATGACGTACTATGTATGGTAACCCTGGCAACGCCTCTGTTGGTATTTTATGTGAGACATTTCATGATGTAAAACAGACTTGGTCCTGTTTGAAGACAAAGTTCTTTATAATAAAATATTCTGCATGCTCAATAATTTTTTATCATTAAACCACAGACGAAAAATACAAAGAGGATTACATAACTGTAACCAAACTATAATTAATTATTTTGAAACCTGTCCTTAAGAACCTTACTGCGCCGAAAATGCATCTACTCTGTTTGAAGCCTTCATCAAATATTCGGTGTATCTTGATACAACACATCTTCTACTGTACCTCAAATTGTAAACTGTAGACACCGAAGGCTGGAGATGGTGGAAACCTGCTCGACAGGAAGTAAAACGTGTGGCGGTCTGCATATTTAATCCTGAATGTTGTCTATGATCAGAGCAGAAGGGGCAGAGCTTGGATACATCTGAGTCTTTCTGTCGGCCTCTTCGAAAGAATTAAAAAAGTTTCCCATGACACCCTCCACATACTCTGGATTACACAAGGGGTGGATCACGGAGGACATCGCTGTAAAGAAACAGAATCGTGTCACGTCATCTTGCCGTTTAAACATACTGCGTCTTTGCCAATGCCGGATTCTGTGACAAGGTGTTTGACTGTCCCATCAGGGGCGGATCCAGGATTTTGGAGGGAGGGGTAGGGGTGCACATGAATCATAAAGTCCAAAGGTTAGGGGGAAATGCTCTTATCACGGAATTAAAAAATAATGGTAAAAATGATCTGTGGACGTAGTTTTGGTTCGTAATTATTTGTATTCTTGTTTAAACACCAAAGATAAATTTTGCTTCGGGCTTTAAAATTTTACTGAGAGTAAGGTGTACCTCTTGCTTCACCATCTGCCATGGAGAAGCCACGGAGAAGCCACGGAGAAGCAAAAGTCGGCAAATACATGGGGTGGTATATTTTACTTTATTACTAGTGTGTAACTTGCTCGATCAACAAAATAAAGTTGGTCTGCGGTTAATTTGACGCAATGTGTCATGGACAACGAGTATTTCCGATCAGGGGTCAGAATCACTCACTCACTGAGAATCCTTGTAGGGGAGGTTGGGTAGCCTTGTGGTTAAAGCGTTAGCTTGTCACACCGAAGACCCGGGTTCGAATCCCCACAAGGGTACAATGTGTGGAGCCTATTTCTGGTGTTCCCCGCGGTGATATTGCTGGAATATTGCTAAAGGCGGCGTAAAATCATACTCACTCACTCACTTAGAATCCTTGTTATGCCCAGTTCAGTAAAGGCAAGGGTCGGTGGGGTAGCTTAGTGGTTCCGTTCATGGGTTCGATTCCCCACATGAGTACAATGCGGGAATCCCATTTGTGGAGGGCAATATTGCTGGAATATTGCTACAACGGCGTAAAACTAATCTCACTCATCAAGCCAAGAGGTTTAGGAATGACAACTTCTTTATTCAAGAGTGTACATAATCAGCCAACAGCACCGTGGAACGAACCCCCTTCGTCACCCCACACCCACTCCTCTACGACAACCATACATAACATCGACGCCCTCATCTACTGACCTTACCTCAAGATCATATGGGACAATGAACGTAGCTTATTAAACTATCTTCATAAACATAACAAAACGAAAAAGAAACTTACAGAAGTAGTTCAAATCTGTGGACAAAAGCGTTTCATTCGTCAGACAATGTATCCCATATGCCAACAATGTATTGATAAAACAACAGACCGCACCAGCTGTTATCTTTAAGTAATAAATCGTACAAGCTTTGTATATTCTGTACTGCCTCGCGTACAGATGACTTCCTACAGTTGTCACTGTAATCACAATAATCCGTTGTTCTTAATCCCGTAATGTTGCTTTTAATCCCCTTGGTTGGCACATGTCATCGTGTACCATTTGAGTAGATCGGTGCTCATGATGTCAATCACTGGTTTGTCTGGTCCCGACTCCACTACTTACAGACCACTGCCATATAGCTGGAATGTCGCTGGGCAAACAACAAACAACAAACAATAAACTTATATCTATCAACTGCGACAGCCGAGCTGACGAAGCAGTAATTGTTGAACTATCACACGCCGGCATATATACATGTAGACTAGAACAAGACACGAGACGCAAAGCAAGGTAATTATAGATCATTTATTAATGTGAAAACTGACAATTCAGGACAGCACCATTGGCTTGGGGATGTTATACGAGCTGGTGTTTCATTCCATAAATCAAGTCACACCGTAGTATCATGTAATGTCGGTTAGAGCCTGGTTAAGATCAGATCAGATTAGATCAGGCCCTGATTTCTCGAAACAAACTTAAGTCTGAGTTTTGACTTAAGTTAGAGTTTTTACTCAAATTTGAGAAAACGCAGTAAAATGCATTCCCCAGGGTGAACTGAAATCGATATTGAACTCACACATAGTCTACAATTTGAGTTTGATGGATAGATTACGTGGGTTGTTTGGGCTTTTTTATTTTAAAAATGCATTTGAGTTAAAAATTCAGCTGTTTCAATTGTCAAACTCAATTTGAAATTTGAGGAAAAACTTACGAGAAATTGGGGCCAGATCAGATATATAAGATATAAGTTTATTATCCCGGAAGAAATTCTTTTTGCATCAAAACGATGTCAAAATGAGTATATACACATTCAATTTAATTACATTCACAAAATGAATGCTGGATTTAATTACATATACACAAGAAAAAATGAATCAAATCAAATCTAGGTATAACGCTACATATCCATAGTCTTGCTCAAAGTGCTCGTTTGAAGAGGATGGTTTGAGATCGGAAACTGTTGATATTTTCCGATTTTCTGACATTTTCAGGTAATCCATTCCAGAATACAGCACCTGCTCTGCTAAATGTTCTGTCCCCGCATGTTGTGGTTCGGACAGATGGAACATCTAAGCTTTGCTGACTAGCTGATCTGAGTGAATAATTCTAGTCTTTTACTTGGAGGGTTCTGCTATGGCCTACGGCGGTTGACGGTGTCATAGATCCGAAGCTCCTAATTAGTAGGCACACCTAATGATGCCTCCCTGATAGCATGAAATGTTTTGTAACAAAAAAGAAAAACCCTTATTGAATTTTTTTTTTCTATTTTTTGAAAAATTTATTGTTTTCTGGTTCCTTTAATCATATTCTCGATGTTTCGAATATTTTCTCCTTGCTTCGATTACGTTCACGGGAAGAAATTGAGATTTTCAGGGAACTTGAAGGAACGATAAAATATATGAAATAACAGTCGAAACAGCAGTCGAAAGTGTTAAAGATAGATAGATACTTGAAATAACGAGACATATCGCTGAAACACAACTGTCCTACAAAAGTGGCAACATCAGGTTTCTTTGTAAATAAGTGGCATAAAAGAATAGAGTAGTTTTTGTAGACATCCGCTGGTAGCCGAGTATTGTCCAAAAATGACACACATGCTACAGGTATTTTCCCAGGATATCAACACCCGTCAACACTACACGCGCTACAAGTATTGTCCTTGGATATCAACACCCTCCAATACTACACGTGCTACAGGTATTGTGCTAGGATATCAACACCCTCCAATACTACACGTGCTACAGGTATTGTGCAGGATATCAACACCCTCCAATACTACACGTGCTACAAGGTATTGTGCTAGGATATCAACATCCTCCAACACTACACGTGCTACAGGTATTGTGCTAGGATATCAACACCCTCCAATACTGCACGTGTTGCAGGTATTGTCCCAGGATATCAACACCCTCCAATACTACACGTGCTACAGGTATTGTGCTAGGATATCAACACCCTCCAACACTACACGTCCTACAGGTATTGTCCCAGGATATCAACACCCTCCAATGCTACACGTCCTACAGGTATTGTCCCAGGATATCAACACCCTCCAATACTACACGTCCTACAGGTATTGTCCCAGGATATCAACACCCTCCAATGCTACACGTCCTACAGGTATTGTCCCAGGATATCAACACCCTCCAATACTACACGTGCTACAGGTATTGTGCTAGGATATCAACACCCTCCAATACTACACGTCCTACAGGTATTGTCCCAGGATATCAACACCCTCCGATACTACACGCGCTACAGGGAATGTCCTTGGATATCAACACCCTCCAATACTACACGTCCTACAGGTATTGTCCCAGGATATCAACACCCTCCAATACTACACGTCCTACAGGTATTGTCCTAGGATATCAACACCCTCCAATACTACACGTGCTACAGGTATTGTGCTAGGATATCAACACCCTCCAATACTACACGTGCTACAGGTATTGTGCTAGGATATCAACACCCTCCAATACTACACGTGCTACAGGTATTGTGCTAGGATATCAACACCCTCAATACTACACGTGCTACAGGTATTATGCTGGGATATCAACACCCTCAATACTACACGTGCTACAGGTATTGTGCTGGGATATCAACACCCTCCAATACTACACGTGCTACAGGTATAATGCTAGGATATCAACACCCTCCAATACTACACGTGCTACAGGTATTGTCCCAGGATATCAACACCCTCCGATACTACACGTGTTACAAGTATTGTCCTAGGATATCAACATCCTCCAACACTACACGTGCTACAGGTATTGTGCTAGGATATCAACACCCTCCAATACTACACGTGCTACAGGTATTGTGCTAGGATATCAACACCCTCCAATACTACACGTGCTACAGGTATAATGCTAGGATATCAACACCCTCCGACACTACACGTGCTACAGGTATTGTGCTAGGATATCAACACCCTCCAATACTACACGTCCTACAGGTATTGTCCCAGGATATCAACACCCTCCGATACTACACGTGTTGCAGGTATTGTCCCAGGATATCAACACCTTCCGATACTACACGTCCTACAGGTATTGTCCTTGGATATCAACACCCTCCAATACTACACGTCCTACAGGTATTGTCCCAGGATATCAACACCCATCAATACTACACGTCCTACAGGTATTGTCCTAGGATATCAACACCCTCCAATACTACACGTCCTACAGGTATTGTGCTAGGATATCAACACCCTCCAATACTACACGTGCTACAGGTATTGTGCTAGGATATCAACACCCTCCAATACTA